ACTTGTAAGGCATACGCGTTAGACAGCATTGCCGTTTGTCTCATACTTAGTGGCATGACTACACCAGAACACTTTGTTGTCGTATTATTCGTCAGTCATCAAAGCGAACACGCTGTCGGTTTCTTGGGTGGATGCCACGAAGCACACTGGAGTGAATTATCTCCTACGCTACTGTATGCACTTGTTGCATAGGTTTTTGGCGTAATGGCATCTGTGCATTGCAGGTGCTAGAATATCATGCATTTTGGCCTGCTTAAATTGTCGTCCCTTAGATATCTTGGAGCAAATGAATATGCTCACAACGCTGTTCGATTCTAGTTATAAAATGCCACCGAAATTTTTGCGAGAAGGACCGGACAGTGGATGATTATTTCAGTTCATATTTCATTATCGCATCTAGATATTTTGTGTCTTCTACGCTGTTCATCATGTGACGCCAATCAAAAGAATGCCATCAGGCTGTTGCATTGGCGAAATAAGAGATCCAAACCCAGTTGCAGTAGTTTCAGCTCATATTTCCTGCACTCTGCCTATTTGGATTAAGGAAGAAGCAGGGAGCGATAGAGCAACCACATTACTCTCTTGACATTCAGAAACCGCCACTGGCTTCCACGGAAGAGAACGGAAATTTTAGACCTGTTGAATATTTGCATCCGCTTCCCAATCACGGGCTGGTTACGAGTACCAGTCAGGATTTTATACTAATACACCAGACCTTCGTTTACCGACCGTTTTGCGGTTCACGGCTACCTAGCGGGTCATGAGAAAACGCCCTACCCTACTTCACCCTTCTAAGTGCAATAATTGAGAAATGACGAGGGTATAGCTCTTAGGGGGTTTTGCACACTGTTGAGATTATCTTTTCCCAGGTGAATGGTAGACTTGTCTACAGAATTTGCAGTTGCTGATTCTCAGTACTATGCTATGCATAATGATAACGATAAAAACGAATGGAAAATTCGTAACCGTTGGAATGGCGGTCTTCGTTACAGTTACTCGATGGGAGCAGTTCTAGAAATCATGTTTTCTTAAAGTTAGCGGTACGGGCGCTGATCTATATTTCCATGTCATTAGCCAAGAGTGTTTTATTTTAAAGGCAGAATCGACAGCACCTGTGTGAAAAAGCGTAACTTACGTTCCCTTTGTTTGATTCGCACTTATTTACCAGAGTGATACTCAGCAACCTCAGAAGAAAGATAGTGACCCCGACCGGAGCTCGAAACCTCGATCTCTGGGTTCGGAGTGCGACACTATGCCTACTGACTAACCCCGATCTGATGCAACTTATAGTAAATTCTTCGCACAAGGGAATTAGAGGTAGAGACAGTGATTGCCCGCTGCGGAATCGTACTCGGTACCTTCAGAGTTAAAGTTCTATGCCGACCTCTCACGCACCCTGCCACAAGGTCACTGATTATTAAGGTACATTCAGCTGATTTCTAGATGTTCACCAGCAGTCCCCCTTGGAAAGCCATCTTTCGATTTTGAACCGTTGTGTTGTATTTTTCAATGTCAGCATTAGATTCAGTTAGACAAGTGGTGGCATTGTCGGCCTGTTTCATGTAGAATGTTTTGCCTACTGCCGTGGCGGGGTCTCTGTGAATGATGAATGAATGAATATCTGTTTAGAGCCCAGCGATGCCTCAGTGAAGTTCGTCTGGCGGTTTGAAAATATTGCTAGCAATCAACTTCGGTGGGAATGTGAAAAAAGTTATTCATTAGATGCATCGTCGTAGAATTGGGACTTATGTGTAATTCCTCAGACGGTCTAGCCATCAAGGCAATGTTAGCAGCATTGTCTAAGGTTAATGAGTGAACCCTCTAATATCACTTTTCCTGAGGCTACTTTCGAACCGGCTTTATTCATGCCTCTATCGTTTCTAAGAAAGTTATTAGGTTAGCGAAGGTCAAAACTCTATGTTAAAAGCGTCGTTTCAGGGGTTTGTCAGTCTTTATCAAGATTTAGAAAGGTGTTTATTTTTGTACTGTTTTATTCACCTATCAATAATGGTCTCTGCTATTTGGTTTTGTTTTCAGCTGCCATTACCATAGCGGAGTGCCTTGCAGAGAATCCGGTTTTGATCCGGGTGGACTTACGGGACAATCCTGGCATTAAATCCGCCGGTCTGTTAGCGCTGCACGTGGCTCTAAAGATTAACACCACTGTGCTTTCCGTCAACCTGGACAAGACCTGTTGCGAAATGTCGTCGATGTCTCGAGGCAAGCAGTTTGCCGACCACCTGAAAAAGACGTACCGAGAGTTCGAGGCATTCGTCTACCGAAACAATAAGTTGATATTAGATCGAATGAGGAGCGAAAAACTGGC